GTACAGTCAGCAGTATGACTTCGCCTTCGGACCTTGGGTTTGTTGCTTTTAGTCTTACCGCTCTTCAACCGACCTGTCTGACATGGTAGGACCTTGAGGGACGGTTGTTCCAGCCAGTATAGCTCGGTTGCTTCATCACGATAGGCAAGCCCGACCACCACGTCAAGGTAGCAACAACGGTCGGGATTATTTATTTATTTATTTATTTGAACACATAAATATTGGTACAAGAGAGCGCCAATATATATGCGCCACACAAAACAACGGGAATTCGAAGAGAAGTAGAAAGAAAGAAAAAAAAAAACTAAGGAACGCAAAAGAAAAGGAGAGTAATGACGAAGAGGTACAATCAGAAGAAATCTTTCAGTTAAGGAAGACAACCACTTTTTATGAAGAAAGTAAAAGAAGGTTACAGCAGGATCGCCACTGGCTTCTATTCTGAGCCATATCTGATAACGTCTCTAGCCACTGTGTAGCACCATCTCTCGGACCCCAACCAGGGAGTCGTGAAGGACCGACACAAGCCAGTCCTTTGCAGCTTTCTTTCATGCCACGACACCATGTCATGCACTGACCACCTCTCCGCTTCTTCCAACCAGTCCCAGAGTCGGCAAATAATGCACGACGTGGAATTCTCTGGGACGACATTCGGAGAACATGTCCAAGCCACCGAAGTCAATGTTTCAAGATGGTGACACCAATTGAGTTATCATCTCTGTGCCCGAACACACGATGCCGAACCTCTGCATTACTCACATGGTGTTGCCACTGAATGTCAGCAATCCTTCGGAGACAGCGATGATCGAACACAGAGAGTCGTCTAACGTCCTCAACTCGGAGAGGCCAGGTTTCACAAGCATAGAGCAAAACTGCTCTCACCGACGCGTTGTAGATCCGGCCTTTTACAGCCAGACTAACATCACGAAGGCGCCAAAGGTGGCCCAGATTGGCATAAGCCGCTCTGGCTTTCACTATTCGTGCATTGATCTCATCACTCACACCCCCACCAGCACTTATGCAGCTACCCAGATACACGAACTTCTCAACTACGTCTATCTGCTCACCATCCAGGGTGAGTACAGGATTAGAATCCTGCCAGTCTTGTAGAAGTACTTTGCACTTCGAAGGTGCAAAGCACATACCATACCTACGGACACTGATTGCCAACTGATTAAGTGCGGATTGCATGCCTTGGGCATTATCGCACAGTAAGACAATATCGTCCGCATACTCAAGGTCGAGAAGTCTTTCTCCAGGCAACAGATCCACACCACCATTACTTACATTCATCAGAGCTGTTTCCAGAATGTCATCGATGGCAAAGTTGAAGAGGAATGGTGAGATTGGGCAACCCTGCCTAACCCCACTGCTCGAATGGAACAATGGAGAGAGGTGGTTGTATGCCCTCGCTCTGCCTGAGGTGTTTTTATACAGGGCTTTTAGGATGTTAATAAACTTCTCAGGCACACCCTTCTTCAATAGACAATCCCAGAGAACAGTCCTATCCAACGAATCGAAGGCAGCCCTGATGTCAAGAAACACTACGATTGTTGGCCTTTGAAAAGTATGGCGGTGTTCTAACATTTGGCGGAGGGTGAAGATATGATCAATACATCCTCGACCAGAACGAAACCCAGCCTGCTCCTCGCGAGTCAATCTTTCTCGGGTTTTGAACAACCTACGAAGTATGACGGAAGCCAATAGCTTGGACGCAATCGGAAGTAAACTTATCCCCCGGTAGTTGTTACAGGAACGACGTGAACCCTTTTTAAAGATAGGGACAACTATCGACTCATTCCATGACGTTGGCACACTCTCTAGTTCCCAAACCTTTGTGAACAACGTCGTCAATTCCTTAGTCAAAAAGTCACCACCATCTTTAAAAAGAGCCGGAGGTAAGTCATCTGGGCCAGGTGATTTGTAACGCTTCAAGAGTTGGAGTTCCTTGCGGACTCCCGCCTCATTTGGTGGATCAGTCGTCACCGGCCATGGAGGGCAGGACAGTCTGACCGATGTTGCCGGAGCAGCAGGCCAGTTGAACTGCCCTTCGAAAAATTCTGCCCATCGTCCAAGACGTCGATGGATGTTAGTGATTGGCATCCCATCATCCTCGCAGATTGTTTCACTCACACCAGACTTCTTGCTGCCAGTGGCTCGGATGAGTTGGAAGAGCTTCCGGTAGTTACCAGATGCAGCTGCTGCTTCCAGCTCATTAGCACGCATCGACCACCAGGCTTCTCGGTCCTTACGCAAGCTTTGCCCGATTTCCTTACGTAAAATCCTTCGTTTATGGTCAAACTCACGGTTACCCGGAGAAGACCGACGGGCTTCAATGAGTTGTAAGGAACCAGAAGAAACCCAGTGCATAAAAGCGGGACGTTTCGCAAACCCACAACTGACTGTTCCCGCCATTTTCATGGCGTCATGCAATTGCAACCAATGCTCATCTATACTTTTCGGTGGAGTGGTAGCTAGCCTAGAGGCTAGCTCGGTTCGATACTTACTTGCAACAGAAGTTGCAACCAGCTTGCTAACATCAATCCGTTGATGGCGTTCACTTCGTTGTCCACTGAAAAGTAAGGCAAGATTGGCGCAGACCAAGGCATGGTCAGAGTCCAGATAGGTACTCCAAAAGGAGCGGCAGTCTTGTACACAACCACGCCAGCGGTAGCTGATCGCGATGTGATCAATCTGAGTCCAGGCTTGAGATGCAGAGGGAGGACGCCAGGTGGCACATCGGCGATGACTGTGCCGAAAGTTAGTGCTAGCCAGAAACAGGTTGTGGTCTGTGCAAAGTTGCAGTAGACGGTCCCCGTTATCTGACCTGCGACCAACGAGTCCCCATCGGCCACCTAAACGACTCTCTTCTGTGCCTAGACGCCCGACCTGAGCATTCAAGTCTCCGGCTAGTACTACAATATCTGTCGAACGCACTTTCTGGAGAAGAACTGATAACTGGTGGTAAAACTCATCCTTGATTGCATCCGGGCTGCAATCTGTCGGGGCATAGGCGGAGATGACGAAAAGACATCGTTTCTCACGCCGATTTCTTTTCACTTTGATGGAACTTTCTAATCTAACAGCACATAACCGACTGTTAATGGGGATCCAATCGACTAGTGCTGCCTCAGCTCTAGCGCTTAGTGCGACACCAACGCCAGCAAGACCAGACGAAGATGCCACAGGGTCCCCGGATAAGCGCACGTAAAACAAGCTTTTTGAAGTGACAGATGTAGAGCGAATTTGTAGTACTTCGCTAGAGTCTTGAATACGGGTCTCGGATAGACAACAAACATCAATATTAAGACTTTCCAAAGACATAGCCAGCCCTATCTGTTGACCAACCTGCATAAGTGTGCGAACGTTGAAGGCAGCCAGTTTGAATGGCGCACGTGGTTTCAGAAAAACTGCTTCAGTACTCATATTCGATGGTAACATACAACTTTCAACTGGACAGTGACTCGAGAACGTTTAGATACAGTCGAATTTCCACCAAAGCCGAGCCGCTGTATAAGTATGAAAGAGGGTGAATAATGTGGGAAATAATAATAATAATAATAACGACAATAATAGTAATAATAATAGTATCAATAATGACAATAATAGTAATGATAATTATTTGAATCGATTGATTGTTTTTGTTTTTCGGAGCGATAAAAGTAGTTGCCAAAGACATAGAGTTCATCGTTTGTGTGTGGGCTGTGATACTGCCCGGGTGCCCAAACCGAAGCAGGTGGTTTTCTTAGGGGGCCACCCCCGAGCCTTTGACCTGAAGGTCTAACCCACAAGGCAGTGGAGCATCGTAAGGAGATGCAGTCCCATGGTAGCCGGTGACCAACGATTGGTTCATACGCCATTCGTTCCCGCAGGATACTGGAGCCCATGTGCACCATTGATTTGGAATCCGGTTAAAGCGCCGGACATTCGCTTTTCGTCCTCTCATTTTCGTAAACAACACCCCCGCCACGAGAAGGTAGTGAGTAGGACTTCCCTGGCAGAGGCTATATACGCGTGGCCGTGTGAGAGTATTTCGAGAGGGAGAGCGGACTCTCCCCACTCTCGGCCGTACCAGGGCATTCAGGAGGCACGGTCGGGATGGACGAAAAGGCAATCAAAATAAATGTCTTAACAATAACCGTCCATATTACATAAATATCTCCAAGTAGATAAGTAATCTCGTAACTGAACGGTGCATTAAAAATGTTTGACATCTCTGAAATAAACGTTCACTGGTTCAATTTCGATTTTCCTATGGTTATATGAATATATGACATGATATTTAAGTATTAGTAAATAACTGTGAATCTGTTGGTTGATTTTCGGTGCTGACGTATAAGTTATTTAATCAAATTCAATGTTTTTCCTACATTCAAAAAAGGTTAGATGGGTTCCATCAGAGATAGACTTTGCTGATCGATTTGATAAGTATTTGGATTACGAATTCTTCGGACACAAGGTAAGAAGGTATTAGATTACTCTTTATGATGAAGTATTGGTATTTTAACCTAAGGTAGATCTGTCTAAACTTGGTCGATACTATTATCATTATTTAGTGGCTGAGAAATTGATATTACACAAATTTATGTGTACAAGTTAATAAATTAGTTTGCTTATAAACATTCCATACATATTTTCTATTAGGCTGGATAATAAAATGTTTTAAATACCTTTGTCGCATATCCGTAGTCATTATTTAATCACCCATTGTAATTACACCAGTAAATCGAATCCCTCAGTTTGAGGCTGAAAATTTCTCTGTCTCTAACAAGCTATGAAATAATTTGAAACCCACTATCGTTTATAATTACAATGGGATTGTTAACTAATTCCTCACTGAATATGCATACAGTCAAAAAAGATAGTTGAAGCCATCTACGGTGTTGAAAGACTCCAGCGACTGTTATATTCGTTAGCGTTTCATGGCAATGTTACCGTTTTTTGAGCGGTTTGTTTGTTTAGCAAAGGAGCTTTCCTATTTAGTTGACACAGTTTATTTATAGCAGAGTTTATGCTCACTGTTAGTCTGTTTCGTATGTTTATTCGGAGAAATTAATGAGTATAAAACTGACTATCACTTAACTTGATTCATTTTTTTATCCATTAGTTTTGTCTAAAAGGTAGCAGTGTGAATAATCTGTAAAGAAGGATTATTCGTATTCGTTTGTTGCTTCCATGATCTTTTGCGCGTCTTTCTACCCTTTCAACAAGTACTTACTATTTCATATGATTGGACAGCTTCTTTAAGTTTATGGGATTGCTCATACAACTATATACTGACCCAACTAAATTCATCGTCCTGTTAATAAGTCGTTCAGTAGATTTCCCTAGTTAAAATCATGAGGCCATATTCTATCAATTTATTCCTGCCTGCATTTCTTAGCGAGTTACAGTAGTAATAGGTTTGGTTTTTTGCGATTTCGATAATCTTGTATCTTCCTGACAGATATTGTTCTTTAAGTGATGCATACCGCTTGACTTCATTATAGTTAATACTTAACCATTTTACCTATTAAACTGCCAACAATAGTTTAATATTTCGTTTACAAACGCATTATTGACTGTAATCCCCAAAAGAAAAACACTGGGTTATACATTTTTCTTATTTGTCAGACCTGTAATGTTTATTCGCATTTTACTGTAATGCTAACAATAGTTTTCAGTATGGGGTTGTAAAGATTGTTGAACTTTCTTAAAATCACGAACCAATTTAAGTTAGACCATCACTGAAAACGTAGAAGCACATCCCAATAACTCTTTTATCATCACGACTAATCATTCTTATGTCCCTTTATCATCTCCCACCGCTAGTGCAAACGATTCGAGTACATGGAACGTTATTCCCGGTCTCCTGAAACCACTCTCTAAAATACATGTAGGAGCTTTGAACATCCGAACACTGGGCCAAATAGGACAACAGGCTTCCTTAGCTAGGACTTTGGAATCTCGCGCCATCGATGTGTGCTACATCTCCGAAACGCGCATACAGGATCCGAGTAGCGCCATTCATTTGACCTCACTATATCAAAATAAAGAACCAACTCGATTCACGCTTCGTGTACCTGGAAGCCCAGATGCTGCTTCCCGTAGCCTCGCCAATGTAGGTATAGCATTGAGTCCTAAGGTAGAACTTGCTCTCCTAGACTGGATCTCAGTAGACAGTCGTTTGTGCGCTGTCCGACTAAATGGAACAGCAAGGACTCGGAAAGATAAGGACACAGGTTGTTGCCTCTTCGTCGTCTCTGCCTACTCTCCTACTGACTGCAGCTCACATGATGTGAAAGACGAATATTACAGAAAGCTTTCCGACCTTCACCGAAAAGCTAGGCGCTCTGATATAGTAATAATGGCTGGTGACTTTAATGCTCAAGTAGATAAACTAAGCGAAAAGGAAGGATACTTGGGCGGATCGTATGGTGTCGTGGCTCAAAGAACAGATAATGGCGATCGTCTGTTCCAGCTATGCTCAGATAACTGTCTGTTTCTAGCAAATACTAACTTTACGCATAAAGAAAAAACATCTTGTGACATGGCGATCCGTGGAATCTTCCCAACGTTGGACCAAATAGATCACATCGCTATCAGCCACCGATGGAGGGACTCGATAGAAGACTGTCACTCATCCTGGAGCACATGCTTAGATTCAGATCATGCTCTAGCGCGAGCGCGTATTTGTCTGCACCTTACTGGACGTAGAAAAGACTCTGCAAGGAAACCTCTTAGGGTTCTACTTAATGATAGCCAAGCTAAGAATATTTTTCAGGAACAACTAGAAAACCAGTTAGACAGCCACGTAAGTGATGCCCACCCCGAGGCAGCGTGGAATGATATCCGAAAAGCTGTGAAAACAACAGTGACATCTGCTAGTAAGGTCAACCATAAGGTTAGTGAGAAACACTGGATCGCAGCAGCATCTACCGCACTGACAGATGCTCGAAAACACATACCATCTGGCTCTGAACATAACGAAGAGCGGAGTCAGCTTAAGCGCAGGCTGATAAGTAGCCTAAGCAATGATCGCGAACAGTGGTAGGTAGCGAAAGCAAGAGAGATGGAAAAGGCAGCGGCAGACAACTGTTCAGACTTGAAAAGAAAACCGGTATTATGAATCCAACTGCTAGTGAAACTATCTCCGAAAACGATGGACATATTGTTCACTCTCAATCCATGAGATTGGATCGATGTGCAGAACACTTTAGGGATCAGTTCAACAGGCCTTCAATCACACTTCCGTATCCCACGATCTCCAGTCGACCTGAATGGCAAGTTGATGTAAGTCCTTCAACTCTTTACAAAGTTAAAAAAGCTATAGGAAATCTGAAGTGTGGGAGAGCAGCAGGCCCTGACAGGTTTACTCCTGAGATTTTCAAGGATAGCGGTCCAGTATTAGCAGCGAGATTGAATGAGGTCTTAGATAGAATCTGGGGACTGGACGTAATCCCATCTGACTGCTCTCAATCTCTGATTGTGCCAGTCCATGAGAAAGGGCAAAAGTCCCCTTATGATAATCACAGAGGAATCAGTTTGACTAGTATAGTGTCTAAAATATTAGCTTCAATAATACTTTGACGCCTAACTAAAGCTTGTGAAGAGCAGACTAGAGAAAAATAGGCTGGTTTTCGACCTGGACGTGGTCGTATAGACCAGATATTCATACTACATCAGGTCCTAGAACATAGACACACATTCATACGTCCCACAATCGTAGTATTTCTCGATGTTAAGGTGGCATTTGACTCTGCTGATCGTGAGGTTCTATGTCAGTGTTTTTCACTGAAAGGAGTACCAAAGAAGTACATTAACCTTATAATGGCTCTCTACTTGAACACAACTGGTCGAGTGAGAGCTTATGGCGAACTGTCATCATAATTGATTACCTCAAGTAAGTGATGTTCGTCAGGGTTGTCTACTCTCACCATTCTTGTTTAACTTTATCGTTGACGTGCTTTTAGAGGTAACACTTTCCTCATTTAAATTTCCAGAGGTTGAACTTTTACCGGGAGATTCACTTGTTGACTTAGAATATGCCGATGACATAGTTCTATTTAGTGAAGGCGCTGACAAAATGCAGAGTCCTCAAAACAAAGGAAGAGATCACAATGGATGTCGTCCGATGTTACCCACCTACCAACGATAGCAGTGGAGAAGATTAAAATTAATTTGATAGGAGGGTTTCAGTCCATAGTAAACAAATGTTCAGGAAAACACCTGACCATCCTGATGGGGAACTTAAACTTCGAGGTTGGTATGTACAATACCGGGTATAAAAATATCATCGGATGACATGGACTGGGAGAAAAGGCGGGAATGGTGCAAGAATGATAAATCTACATGTTTTAAACAAATTGGCTATATGTGGTAGCATTTTTACTCACAAAAGTTATATGGGTTTCCACCGACTACGCTATAGAAAACCAGATCGATCGCATCTGCATCAGCAGGCAATTCAGAAAATCTGTGTGAAACATAAGGACAAAGAGAGGAACTAACACAACTGCAGACCACCACCTGATCGTGACAATACAAAAACTAAGGCTAGAGAAGAACCGGGAAGGTAGACGAACAGAACTACAAAATTTCGACGCAACCTTCATTTGAAATGTTGACAAACTCAGCGACTTCAATATAGCTCTCAAAATTAAGTTCTAAACATATAGAGAACCTTATACATACAGATACCTAGGTAAATCTAAACAGAAAAAACAACAAAAACGAAAATAATTCTTTCTATTTCACGGTTTCTCATCAACTGCGTACAACCTAGAATTATAACTACCTACATTATTAACAAAGGTTAAACAAACTTTAGTTTTTGAAGTTTGTATAAATGTTCGAAAGGTTACTAAAATCATAATGATAAAAAGAACACGGATACGAAAAACTGGAGGATGTGCCACGAAGAAGCCAATAAATTGTATCAACAATTAGTTTTCACTTTGAATTTACAATATCCAAAAACAACCTTTGCGACTGTATTACCGCTGATAACCTGTCAAGAACAAGCATTGCCAGTGGCGTATACAGGTTACAGCAGCTACTTAGACATCCATTACTTGCTCTGAACAAACGTATGTATATATGTATTTCTATCATATTTAAGTTACATGGAACCAGAGAACAACAAACACGAATGAGAGCTTCGTGTACAAAAGAACTCCCGTCGCTCGCACTTAAACCATCGCTCTGTGGAGCCGAAGTCACATACCTAGACAATAGACCATATTCACCAAGAAGCAACCTACTAGTCATATTCTCAAAAAAGATAATTGATTTCGACGGTCGACTTACTTTGACTCGTTTATTTTGGAAAATATTAGTCGAGTGCTGGGGACAGCTCGTTGCTATCACATCGCAATAGATTTGAAATATGACCTTAGATATATTACCTTTGATTTTACCGTTCTTTATTAGACCTCCCCATCATAAAAGGGCATCGAAGAAAAAGTATTCGAGCTAATATGGTTCAAATGAGTCATCGCAATAGACCACCATAATCACGCAGACCTTAACTCGTTAGTATGCACCTAACTACACAGCTCATTCCTTTAGTCGCGGTTGTCATGGTCTGATCCTATTGCTTGGCTTAGTCACCTTTAGGTTTTTCTAGCCTACTTCTATACCAATCATCATCTTGCGTCAAGGTAGTCGGTGAATGGTTGTAAATATTTTGTATCCTACCTATCCCAGTCGACAAAGATCCACTACCTCATCAACGGGTTCGCCATCCTTACCTAATACTGTGTCAAACTTCAGAATTGCTAACCCGATGGTCCCAAAATACATGAGCAGTTGTTCAGAGTCACCTATTGTCGAGTACTAGTAACTTATAAATATCACATTTCACAACCAGGAATTCGAACAAAGTGAACTGCTACCCTGTTAACTCGTTATCTGGTTGGTAGATGAATATCTCACCTACACCATAAGTGACGCAAGTTGGAAAAATCCTAACTGACCTTCTCTATTTGTACTGAGATTTCATCAGATACCACCCTACCAGAGCTGATGAGAAATCTGTCAGCATTTTGAAGGTTCTATGTACAAATACATCAGGTAGAACGAGGATATACAACCACCTTTTCTAACACTTATTCGGTAGTGGAAAGGCAGCATTACTAGAAAAGCTGGTTGACTGAATGAAACACTTTACTACACTACAGCCTAGTACAATAGGCGATACAGCTTAGTTCATGAACTTAATATTTTCTGCTTCTGATAATACCACCCTCAAAATGACTTTCCTGGTATGGTTTAGCATCAAGCAACAAACATTCTAGCCCATATAGCCTGTATCCACGTAACAAACGTAAATTTCTACATATATAAATTATATTCAATTAGCTCAATGATCGGAAATCTTGATAGTTGGAACCTGCTGTCGACTTCGAAACATCTGCATCTAGTAACTTCTGAAATAAAAACCAATGGTGACCGCGCTGTAACTTTATTTCACTTTACTTCATGAATGAAATTTATTTGCTTAAAAGTATTGTTGTACTTTTTCAACCGAACTATTTCTCCCACTGTATATTAAGCTCATGCACTTATTTTTTTCATTTAATTATTTTTTAAGTATATTCACCCTTTTCATATCTCTTCATAACTTCATCCATTTATTTGTGTGGTGTATATTTATTTTGATATCCATTTGTGCCAATATTTATACCTTCAAATAGATAACCTTCCAAATACCCAGTGTTTCAAAGCAATGTGAATGGGAAATTCACACAAGTTTCCTAAATTTTATTTAAGTTGTAAAGGTCGTATTTTTCTTGTCCGAAATCTCAATCCCGAATGACATATAAGCAGTGTCTCAATCGAGCACGTTAACCAGCCAAATAAAAATATTTATACGTCTCTTCTAATCAGTACAGCAAACGAACAAGTTAAATAATTTCGGTTTCCGGAGTTGTGATGGCATCTTATTGTCGTCTCAGGTGTGTATGTTTGCCAACATTTTCGAAAGTGGAACGAGGGAGTCTAAACTTTTTTTCGACATACGTCTTAATGGAAGTAATATTTTCCCATAGAGATATTCCAAGCGCTATTTTTACGTGTAGTGCTATGGTCAGGCGAAGAGTTTTAAGCATTTATTCAACGTAATATTTTACCTTTTTAATATCACAAGGAGTTCGTTTCATCGTTAATATACCTCATAAATTAGAAGGCCGATTCGTAAGTTCACATTGTCTGTTAGATAGACACAATTAGTAATTACATTTTTATTCGCGATTACTTTTTCTTAATTATTCAAACCGATTCATTATCTCGTGTAAATTCTAGAAGATTAGTCACTTCCAAAAGTTTACTGCTTTGATCGATATTTTTGTTGTTCTTTGTTCGTGTTCTTGTCATAGATTCATTGGTTTTCAATCTTTAATTCATTTATGATGGTATTGTTCCTTGTCGCATTGGTCTGCATGATTTTAATGCGAACATTACGGCGCGATTATGCAAGATATAATAAAGAAGATGGTCTAAGCGATTTGGTAAGTCTCCCAGTACTTTTATGCTTAGTGTAATTGTAGCAAAACAATTGAAATACTGTTGTTTATTCTCTCAATTTTACATTACACAGAGCTCACAGGTCTTGTTGTAAGGCTTTTTGGTTTCTGGCTTTTCCAAATAAGGGGTTCGTTTTGCTTCTAGTACTTACACGTTCGTTTGTGTAGTTTTATGTGTATCTGGGACCTTACATTAAGAGTATTAGTTCATTCGAAGATTTACTACGGATAGTCAGGGTTAAAAAACTGTCAGTTTTTTAATCCGTATCTGAATTTTTTTCAATATATATCGATTAGTGTCAAGTACAGTTTCATCCATTTTTCTGACAACTATATGTGTATTTTGAGGCTTCGTTATCTTCTGTTGGGTTCATATTTGTATCTTATTAATTGAAAGTCGATGGCAGTTTGATATTCCTCATAAGTACCTACATTCGACTAATTAAACGACTAAACCGAGAATCCAGTTTCCATTGAGATTTGACAGTCGTCTTGCAGATTCACCAATAACATAGGAAGTTAGATTCTCTTTTCACAGTAGCCGAATAGTCCGATCATTCAGTTTGCTTGGTATCTTGTTACATGAACTTGAGTCTTGAACAAAAAATAGTATTTCAGTGGCCCGGGATCTGACTCCAGGTTGATCGGACATTTATTTATATTTTATTTATTTTAAAACATAGATATTGGTATAAGGAGGCACCAAATACATATGCGCCACACAAATCTCATTTGATATGTGTGAGGGTTGTGATACTGCCCGGTCCTAAACCGAAGCAGGTGGTTTTCTTAGGAGGCCACACCCGAGCCTTCGACCTGAAGGTCTGATCCACAAGGCAGTGGGGCATCGTAAGGAGATGCATTCCCATGGTAGCCGGTGACCAACGATTGGTTCATACGCCACTTGTTACTTCAGGATACTGGAGCCCATGTGCACCATTGGTTTGGGATCAGGGTTTTCCAACTCCCCCAGGTGGACTCTCCATGTTCACCAACCCGGTTAAAGCCCCGGACATTCGCTTTTCGTCCTCTCGATTTCGTAAACTACACCCGCGCCACGAGAAGGAAGTGAGTAGGACTTCCCTGGCAGAGGCTATACACGCTTGTCCATGTGAGAGCATTTCGAGAGGGAGAGCGGACTCGCCCCACTCTCGGCCGTACCAGGGCATTTGGGGGCTAGATCTGACAAGTGATCGTTATTGAATGATTGCTGTCGAAATATGCATCATGGTTATTCTCGTTTATTGTTATTGACTTACTCCGAGTTAGTGTATAACGGAATTAAAATAAACCGAGTACGAGAATGGATTTTTGAATGCGTGTATTTTGTACACTTGTTGATTTAAACAGATAATTAGAGGAGTGAAGCGAAAAGAAGAGAGCGAAGCGAAATGACGCGCAGTGGAGATGGCGTGCGAGCCAACTCGATTTAATCAAGCGTTAATCAATATTTATAGTCACACAAAAATAAGCTACAAACACGTGATGAATAATGATAAGACATACACACACACAAGCTCATATAAAAACAGTTAATGTTGATAAGTGAATAACTAACAAGGTCAAGACGTGGCTCAAGAAGAATGAATAGACCGGCCTGTCCAGAAGCTAGAGTAAAATGTGTGGGCTTAACATATCAACGGACACTGCAGCATGATACACATAGACAACTATGCGTTCATGTTTCAAGCCCCAGTAAATTAGTTATTTATCTGAGAGGCGAATTACTTCCGGTTTTACTCGTTGCATTGACCTAAATTATCGTATGTAAGAAAAAATTAGTAAGGTTAGAGAAAACGTTTAATGATAAATAGAAGTGAGTTGAATGTGTAGGTCCATTAATGGTTTTATAGTTATATTTTTGTTATATCCGGTGAAGATTAAATTACAGGTAACTTCCGAGGACTATTCATGGACTAATATTCTATAAACATTCTTATTGTATAACTACTCAACAATTACACTATGTATATTTATATTCCTTTCATGATAAGCTTTATTTTGACTTATAATTTATTATTGTACGATTTACGGTTCTTAAGTTATGTTCAGTTTATTAACTACTGCCTCCCACATTCACAGCCACTTTTTGGGCTTATTTGTGTACAAATATTATTTCCTATTTTATGGTACGTTGCGGTCTGTGTGATTGATATATAAACCAAGTATGCCTGAAATAAACGATCT